TGGTGGTGGTGGTGGTGGTGGTGGTGGTGGTGGCGGTGGTGGTGGTGGTGGTGGTGGTGGGTACGGAGGGGGGTTAGTGAGCAGGCGGTCACAGTGCTTGACGGACACGCCGTGAAAGAGTTGGACGTGTGTGTGTGAGGCTGCGAAGTGAATCAGCTCGATTCACTACGAGCACTTCTGGCTTTTGTACAATTCACTTGCGTGCCTATTTAGTTAACCCGATTCGGACAAATGGGCATCTACGTGAAGTCCATCACGCCAGACTCAGCGGCTTCGCGGGCGGATGTTTTGGTTGGCGACAGAATTCTCGCCATCAACGGCACCGATCTCACGGCCTTAACCTTCAAAGAGTAAGCAAAGAAAGGTTTCCGTTTCATTTAAACCATGAAAATAGTTTTGATCATTACCGATATTTGTGAAGTGTGTACGCTGGTTGCCTGCTGCTGTGTTTGCTTGCTGTTTAGAAGGTGTAGGTGGAGATTATGTGATAAAGCCTAGGACATTTAACTAGGTTTTTAGTACCATTAAGCCACGTGTTTTGGAGCGGTTGTTTAACTGGCGATTTGGTCTTCTTTTCGATTAAATCTTCCAGCTGCTAAAAGCCACATTCTTCTGTTTTGAATGACTGTTTCACTTAACTCTCGTACTGTGATTGCCTTGAAACGTATTTGCCAGCACCGACGGAGTAAAGTGTGTTTGAGTGCAAAATTTTTCCCAACGGGGCTGGCGAACGCCAAGTCAACAAGTAAACTCGCTTGCGGAGGAGTTTGTAAAGCCAAAATCTCAGTAAAAATAATATTAGTGAAACGAGTTAAACGAACACGGGAAATGTAATCTGCTAAATCACTTGGAAACTACGAATTTGTGACTAGTATAGTTAGTGTCCCTACTTCTCGTGCTAGGATATTTGATCTCACAACTGAGGCTGACCTTTTGGGTATTTGATCTGGCCTTAGCTCGACCCCTATTGGATGATCCTACTTGGAAAACTGCCAGGAATAAACTTCGGAGTTAAAGCATCTTTTCGAAGCAATGGTGATTTGAGGGTTGAATGAAGCCACTAATCACGAATGCTTGATTAAATTTACCACTGCGACCACGCTGGCAGCGTTCATGATGGATTTTTTGCTGAAATCGGAAACCTTTCATTGTCCTGACTAACCCGCCTAATCCCCTTTTCAGGTCGTGCGACCTTCTGAAAGAGAGCCTTCACCGTGTGACCTTGACCATTCAAAGAGGCCTCGTCGAGAACCCCGATGACCTCCTCTTCACGTAGGAGGAACAGACTTGCCACAAGAGCCCATAAACGATATTACCTGCCAGTTTACGTCTTTCGTGTATTTTTTTGTGAGCTCAGTTCCACCACATTCCCCGCTCCGCCAATGCGCACTCGTTGTTTTCGCCTTATTTCATTTCATCACGCGTGATTATGGCAGCCCAAATGAAGTGATGCCTCAGTTCTAGAACACTGCTGCTTTGTAAATCTTTGCATAACTTGGAGTGAAGCACCTTGTGCATAAAAGCTATGCTCTCGGTTAAAAAATGATCTGATGTGTCGGTCCATACTTCACAAACTTCTGAGTGCACAACATTTATCGGCAGCGGACCAATAAAAGTACAAATCGTGTCTCAAAAGCTAATGACCAATCGGCAATGAGCATTCATTCGTTTCAATTTTAGCTTAGGATTCCCCTTATCAGTTAGTATCCTGTCGTGAGTATCAGACCACTAATTAATGACCTTGAGAGTACTCGTAAAACCTCATGGTGAGATAAGGAGACGCCGAATCAGTAAAGTTTACACGACGCTGTATCCACCGTCTTGGCACAATGTGTCATCGTGGCGTGGGTGTGATTTGCTATACGTGTAGTGTCGACATATAGACACTAAGCTCCCGTTCTGGTAAGCCAGTTAAATAATTTCCTACTCTCTAAACTCTCCAGTTGGACAATCTTCATCGGTTCACTTGCTGAAACTGAACCTGGCCTCTCAACAATGTAGGAACCTAAATTATCACTACCACAAACCCTATGGATTACAGCCGGTCACAGTCCGGGAAAAGAGAAGACAGAGTCGAAAGGGAACACAACAGTTTATTCGCGTCACGCCAGTCAAGTCGAGTCGCGTAAAATCGAGCCACTAACTTCTGTGTGCGTATCGATTTGCGTGCGTTACAGGCGACTGCTAACAAAAAATCAATAACAAAGAGGGTGAGTCATTGATCCAGTCAGGCAAGCATACACGCAGCACTCACGCGCGGTGGCTGTCTGTCCACCGCAATGCATTCACGAAAAAAAATCGATTGATTTTCGTTCGCTCACAAATGTTAACTGGGCTGGCTTGCCGGTCGCCACAGGTTTAAGCATCGAAAACTCATTGTAAAGTAACGTTTGTGAGGCTGCATCAAAACGGACGCGCTTACTGGGGGTATATGCTTTGTCCCATTTTAACAATGGTAGATTCCGAATGTTTAAAGAGCTGAAGCCAGCTAGGATGGAAAAAGTGCTTCTGAAGATGCTCAGCTGTCATTGAAATGTATGGGTTCGAAATCACAAGGGGAAGACATTCAATGCAATTGAAAAGTATCCTTAAATTGAATTTACTTGTGAATAGATAGCTCAAACGGGAGAGGGTTCTGTATAGTGCAAAAAATCTGGAAATCTGTTTTAAAAAAATTAAGCACGTGGAAAGTCTCTCACTGACGTGGTTTCCTCTCGCTTTTTTGCATAATTAATTAGGAAGTTAGTTAATTAATTCTGATATGAATGCATATGTTAGAGTAAACGGTGCATTCTAAGATGTTTTTTGTGCATAGCAGAGTGGTAATCTTACCCTCTGACTTTCACTGAGCTGGTGTTGTTGAAATTTTAACTATTCCCAAGAGGCGAGTAAATGTATAACTCATACAAAGTGCAATGTGGTTAGTCTGAGATCCCTTAGCATGTAAACTTCTAAGATCAGAGGTGATGCGTAGGACCTGATGAGTCAGCAATCCTTAATCTTGCAATTTTATGGATGTCGAAGCACATTGGTTGGTGTGAATTGCGTGGCAGTAACTAGACGCGTTGAGGAAAAGATGTTATCATGGCAAATTACAGTGAACTCTTAGGGTTTCTCTGGTGCAACATGAGATATTAGTGCTTCAATTCACTTAATGATCATTATAGTCAAGCAGTTGTTACGGTACTCAAAAGACAACAGCTTGTTAATCTTCTTTGTGTGGTTTTGGGCACAAATAACATTTCACCAAAGGTTACATGTTATGTCACTACGGATGCCACCATTCGCGTAGCAAGTACTTTAGCACGATGAAATGGAACTGTTGCAGGCCCTATAGATGGCGGGGACAACCGTTTATTTGTTGTCGCCCCACCTCAAAAAAAACCGTCGTGAATGGCGAAATGAGTAACATGGGCAGTGTTGGAGCTACACGCGCAGGGGTGTGTGAGCGGAAGAGCCCGCAGGAATGACGGTCACGCTTTAAAAAGAGGACCAGGATGTCGGAGAATGCGAAAACTGCAGAATAATCCATTGATTAACAATGTAGTTTCTAACTCAAGACTTCACTGGTCGTGTCCTGCCACCTACCCGCTTAGGCGGTGGCATATTTTTGCATTGTCATGTCCTAGCCCCATATTAGTGACCCTTTCAAATCCGTTGAACCGGAATTGGCCAAGTCGTTTCTTCCAAGGTCTTCACGATGGATAATTGTCAAATTTGTGGGCTCTGAAGCCACAAAAATATCTAGCCAGAATTCACCTCTTTCAAACACGTATTTTAGTAGCGATACTGTTAAATCTTTGAAAGTATGGGTGTCTTCAGTAAATGGTTCATTGGCGATCGTGATTACGATGAGCATTAATCAACGATGGATTAAAACAACACCTCTTCAGCAACTCTTCATAACCCATAATAATCACTCAAAATGTTATTAATTCACACCTACAAAGGGTTGGCCACTTAAATATCTTAGATCAGCTTACAAGAGCAGTTTTTTGTCAAAAAACAGAGCAACGCCTAGTTGGTTTAAGACGTGTCAAGTAAGCCTATTTTTAGAGTCACAATATCATCTGAAACACCAAAAACAAATAGATTGTGCACAGAAGAGTCAGGCTTAAAGCAGGCTATTTAGACAATTGAGCTCCATTCAAATGCACCAATCAAATTATTCGAGGCTAACAATGCTCTATTTTTTGACTGGTACATGCAAACCATGCTAGAGGATACGAGTTTTTGAAAAATACACAAACTAATGTTGGAAAAAGTAGCCGACGCTTCGACGTCTTCCATATTTTCCACTGAACCACCATGAAATGAATCATGAGAGAGAATTACTATTATCGTTAATGTGGTTAAGGAAAACAAGAAATTTTCCCACGTTTGTTTTGCCTTTACCCTAAGCTTGTATGTGAAGTTATAAATGCGGTGGTCCTTTAAAAAACTATCCTCAAAAATATTTGCATTTAAGAATCTTGGTTGGTGAAAATCCACCTGATCATGTCACAACCAGTGATAACTTATTGATGGCGTGAAAAGATTCCATTTCAAAACACATGGCTACTTAATTAACTTTCAAAACATCCATACAGGGAATTGCACATTTGATTAATGTGAATTTGGTATTTGTGCTGTTATCTACCTTTTGTACTGCGGCAGGATTAGTGGAGAGTATCTACAAGGTGACAAGTTTAATGCTGAATCAAACAGGTCACACTTACGAATCCACTTGTCAAAATTGTGAAAAATCACGTGACTTCCGTCGAAGTGCCAAACTTCCCACACCTAGCAGTGATGCTTTCAAGAGGGATTCGTGTTTGCTAACTAGCTTGTCACCGCGTTCTTTTGTCTAACTAACAAAGGGTAGGTAGGTAGTAGGGTTATTCGATTTACCTAACTAAGTATTTTTACCTTTGTAGTCATAGGACTTAATTTTGTGCCCTGTTGCAGCATCATCACGCTGTCAGGTTGTGAGTAGCGGAAACAGCGGTAGAACGCTCGGAAAGCTCACTTACATGAGTAAATTGTGCATGTGATATTTCACACCAATGCGAAGGCACACAATTGCCTATGTGGGATAAATTGGAGCCATTTCAAAGTAAGCATTTTTTTGAAAAAAAAGGCGAATAGCCAGCCATAAATTTAAAAAAAAAACTCAGTGAAATTTCGAAGAATTGAACTGAGCAGCAGAAACACGAGTTAATGGAAATTCCCCACCGATATGTATAGATCCTGCATTTCTATGTTCAAAGCGTCAAATCACTGCTGCTAGAAATGGTAGGGCGATCTTTCCACCACCGCCTCAGTGAGTTTCCCATCCTGTTACATACACAGAGAATCACTTATCTTCTTACTCGAGCATCGGTAGTATTAACAACTTTCCCGGAAATGGCCTTACAACCTAACCAATTTAAGTGAAACCCCTAATCAATTTAGAGTACTATTCTTCCAATGTATAATTTCGACGCCTGTTTGCCACCATTGCATGTAAACACCAAACACCACCAATAAGGCTTCCGTGGCATCACATTATGAATTTAATCATGAGATACATGATACAGAATAAGGTCCTTGGATTTGCTCTGCACAAGTTAACATCGAATAACTTGAATCCTGAAACGGTATAAACGATCAGTAAATTTTTGAAACGCATGTGTTGTGGCTTGGCGAATTAAGTAATCCATCAGGGTTCAAGTCCAAAAAAACTCGGATTTGCAGTAAGCATGTCGGCCACAGTGATCTAGCATCGGGGCAAGTGATTTTTCCCACTAAATTTAAACGGCATTGGTGCAGTTTTCAAGCATCTTCACGCTAACGCGACACCGGCTTCAAAGGTGTCTAGAGCTTCGTTTCTATCTCACAAATTGCAGGATTTTGCAAATTTTCTCAAAATTTAATAGTGTGGTCATTATAAAACCTCTATCCTATCCCTTTCTATCCCTTTTATGCATCTCCACATCCCAAGAATCGTTACTGATTTCGATGCCTTAACTCATTTACATTTACGTTCATTCGTATGGTATGGTTTTCTCAGCAATCATTACCCCTTGGTATGAGAATTTTCGGCCTTGCATGCTGTGGCGATTTTACAGCTAAGCGAGTTCAATGCGGATACGATTCTATATCTCAAAATTGCGTCTAACTTCAAAAAACAGTAAAATGTCATTTGGTATGTACTAGTACCGGTAGTTCCAATAAAGTGACATAAAAACAAGGCAGGCGGCTGCTCCTGTGATTGTAAAGGCATGTAGGTTTTGTGTCCACGGAACCCGTAGGAGTCGTGAGTTGTGGATCTAGCGTCGGTCACGAAAGACCGTTGACGGTGTTAGATGATAGAGATCGCGATAAAGTAATTCAGAAATCTCCGGTTTTGATTTTGCTTTATGACTGTGAGAGGTTCCCGAGCAACAACGAAGACTTAGGAGTAGGATGATCAGTATGAGAAGAACTCCGTTGCCTACCCATCCAACGTAGAATCCTGGCAGCACTTTATCCTAAAATTTAAAAAAATTGATAGTTCAACAATCAGTTTCATTCAATATTAAGTCCCTACACAAACCATGTTAGCGCAAGGGATGAATACCACCGTCACAGTGCTGCTGTTAAAAACTGTTCGGTAAATGAAATTTGGATGTGCGAGTCAGTGTATTTGGTCAAAAACACTGAAGTGCCAATTATGTTGCGGTTGAAGCTTTTGGTATTTCCGAGTTTTAGCATGACGACGAGGTTGCTCTGCACTCGACATCAAGCACCCTCAATCGCGAGGTTATTGTCTACAGGTGCTTCGTTGAAAGTAAGCAAGGAGTCTAGATATCACTTTACCAATTAAGGCTTCGGCATTATTCTGTGACTAAGTTTAATTTTAAAATTACAGTAAGCTAACTGAAGAATGTAAATTAACGGATCACTAACATTTTCGCCTTTTCCTTTGGTCCAAATCGCCATTGCAGCAATATTTGCGGCAACTGAAAAAGAATAAAACACTTTCTCTTAGTCTCCAAGTTTTTTTTTTTCATATCAAAAGGTCTCGAGTGGTTCGAGTTACCGCAACCAGTTGCGTAGTTCGACTCTCCAGACAGGAGTAGGTAAAACCATTGAACTAATTTACTAGCTCGATACTACTTAACCTGAATCACACCTGTAGCTTACAACCTGAGGCTGACTTTGTTGGATTGTGCCTTTGCGACTAGTGTTGCTGCAGCATCGTAGGACACGATAACTTTTAGGAATGAAGAATATTTGGTGGCTTGTGGAAATGCTCCTTAAAATTTACTAAAATTTAAATCTCACCAGTGATTCAACCTCAGGCAATGGTATATACGTGGATCACTGACTTTCGTGCTAACATAATCAATGACCTCGAGACCAGATGGGAACGCAGGTTCACAAATAAGTAAAGGCGATCAAACACACCACATTATTACCATCTTGTCATTTAGCATTGACCAATAAAAATAACAGCCAGCATCAACTTACGTGCCAAGATACCAAGAATAGTGTAGGCCTTGATAAAACGTGTTACCGATTCCGGCCAATCCGATGAGCCACAGCATTGCTTGCAACCCAGAAAAATTGAAGCCAGCGTCATTAGCAACACGACGACAGCTGCGAAACCAGCGGTAGCCAGTGATACAATATAGAGAGTTTTCTTGTCTCCTAGTTTATCTACAACAAAGACAATAATTTTAGGGCGAATTCGACTCATCTCTACACCACAATACTTTATCCACTTCCCAATGTTCGGGGTGTGACTCAGAAAGTAGATCAAGGTTGACAATTAACAGCAATTAAAAGTACAATTGGATATTGGTAAATTCATCGAAAGGAATTGTTTGATGCTTAGAAGAATACATTTATTAAATGAAGTAACAGAGCTCACATGGTCACTCCATTCTGAATTACGACTGATTTAGAAGCAGGTCTAGTTGAACGATGAATACACAGACTTGTATACATCTCAGTTGCGTGATTCCAAATTTGAATAATGGTTCTGCTTATGGCACTGGGTGCAATATCAACGGTATTAATCAGCCTGCCGTCTCGTTTTTCAAAATTCACCAAAAGTAGCCAATCATATTCGCCCAACCAGGGTTTTGCTTAACCATCACATCAACCAATCACCTCCTGTTACTCTTGCTGGTCCACCAGAGACATTTGTACTTATGAGTGATAACGTGATTTGCATAAAATTAAGTCCATGTCCATTGAATTAATTTGTCGAGATAGAGACCATTGGATTATAATCTGAAAAATCACTTTAAATGTAGTTTTTTCAATCCAAAGAGAGAGAAAAGATGAGCGATGTTTAATGTACCGGTGGTTATCTATGCAAATTCTCATAAGTTTTTTATGTGTTTCTGTGTGTGCTTCTAGATGAACAGCCTCTAGGCCCTGGACTAAAGCTACTCGTAAATTGAATCATGTGGCATTATAAAGTAAAGCAAAGTTTTTATTTGGTTAACTTACCCTTATATTCCTGCAAAATTGGTTTCCAGGAGTTTGCTCCCTGGACCGATGGTTGGTCTGTACCTAAAATTTTAAACAAATTCCAATGACTCATCGGTGACTAAAATTGCAAAACCGATAAGCTGAAAAGTGGGTGAAAACCTTTTTCTTACACATTTGGTCACATTTTGACATGTTTTACCTTAAGAATCCTGAACTCTGCCGTTGTTACAAGCAATGCTTTTCTGAGATCCCATGAGTGGCATTCGTGAGTGGCATTTTAATATAAGCGACTTTTGCCGTTGATACAAAATGACCAACATGGTATTAGCCCTGTTTGTGCTTTATAACGTCAATATGTGCTTTTTGAAACGCCTTCATCTGCCTAATCCATGCTGAGCTGCTAGCACTGGTGGAGTTAAACGGCACTACTTTAAGTATTTCCTAGCATCGGGTCACAGTTATAGCAAAGGCGTAATTTTTTATCTGCGAAATAAATGGAAGTTTGGTCTCGCGCCTTTAAAAATTTTGATGCAAGCATTTTCATTTCAATAGGCTAAAACTAAACAACTCAATGAGTTTATTTAAACAAAGGATGTAAGTTTGCTTGGTGGGTAAGTTACCGTCAGAAATTTTGCACAAACTGTTTGATAACAAAGGCAAATAACTTACATTGTGCATAACCCAGTACTATTCCAAAGCAACCCTTTTGGGTTTTAATAATCCATGGTGTAGCGACTTCGACGGCGAGAGCAACGAGCGCAATAAAGGAGAATAGAACCACGAGAAAGTAAGTACACCTCTTATGACAAGCCATTTCGGTAAATGACAGACCGATAAGATGGCTTTGCTTTTTATTCGATGATCGTCTTCGTCATCAACCAATCACGAGAGGCCATTTGCAATTGGTGGTATCTGAGTTTCACGTGAGGGCATGAACACTATGCTTACTAGCTCCATGTAGTGGGTAAAATCTGTGTTGTGTAGTGCGTAGTTATTTTACCCAATAAATCACCACCCATGATTCCATTATTAATTCTTATTCCGTGAGTTTTCATTGTTCCAAGGCGATTTAGTTTGGTGTGCATCGCAAAGACGTAAAAATGGTGCCCATTACAAAATGACGTTTGTGTGACTCCTAAAAGAAAAATTATCAGCTAATTTTCAAATAGATTTTGAGTTACGGATGTTTAAACATTTAAGGATACTGTACACAAATCCAGCTCGTTATCACTAACTCTAAATAATCCGTTTGAGATAAAATACGAAATACAGTCTATTCAGCCTCTTTTTGGAATGGGACAAGTGTTGCAGAGGAAGCCATTTTGTGCCGCGATCATCCTCTTCAAATTACCCATGCATCTAAGTAGGACAAATAACTGCACAGACGAATATTTAATGCCAGTAGTAGGATGTCGCGTCTTGAGGAAACGTGTACTGCCATTGTGATAAGAAAAGGCGTGTTTTAAATGGGTAGAATTTATGCCGTGGTAAACAGTTGATCGGAAGGCTGTTTACTATTAACACTCAAGCAAAAAACATCTTATTTTAAAGATGTAGCAGTCAGAAATGAATGGGCCCTGACACGAATCCGTCTTTGTATGCTAAAGGTTTGTATCTGAGTAGGCCTTGCATTTGTGGCCATAGAATTTAAGTACGATTTACTATTTAATCATAGTAAACTATCCTTGCTGCAAAACCTTGTTTCATGCCTATTCGCGATTTGCATCAGATGGAGTAACCACTGCAGTTAAACGCCAAACACCCACTTCAACGCCTACCTACTCTAGCTTCATGACCTTGTTTCAGACAATGGAGTTTATTGTGCATGTGTTCTTGTTTTCGACTCACATGAGGTCGAAGTAACCAGTTTCAAGAAAATAAATTTGATTAGCACTAATAGTAGAAATTGTCCAATTCTAGTCCGAATCTCAATAGAACCAATTGTTGTAGAATTTCGCACAAAATCTTTCTGCAATCAAATTATTTACCGATAAAACCAATTCGTTACACCACACGTCAGTTTACAATTGATTCGCTTCCATTCTGAACTCAATATCGCTTTCACTACTTCCTACAGACTGTTGTAAGTCATTGATGAAGAGAGGCGTCTTCTCTCGCAATGTCTTGGATGCGCTTGGGCAAATTTCAGTTCATTCTCCAATTAATTTAAACAAACCTATGGGATTTCCCTCCTGCTACACCGCGCTTTCTGTTGTTAAGATTAGTGTGAGGGCTGAGGAGTTTGGGTGTGGGCTTATGATGAAACGGAATTTCATTAAACTTCCTAGTCACTGTTGCCAGATTTCGATTGCAAACTCAATGTAGCTCTTTTTGTCGAAGTTTTCAGAACGTGTTTTGTTTCGAAGCCGAGCCGTAATCCGAGGTAAAGACCCATGCATCTCAGTTAACCAGTATTTAGTTTCCCACTGTGGACTCAATCTGGTCGTGATTATTCCCAACAGATTGCGGCAACTCGTAGACAGAAGGGGAGACGCTTCTAAAGGAGAAAAGTGATTTTTATTGGATCTTGCTTAGTTCCCACGAAACAGAACCGGTGGAAAATGAGTGGGAAATTTTTTTTCACTGTCGTTTTCCCTGAAAAAAAAACTCACACTATGTTCTCTTTCGCTAAACGGCATCTTCCGCATTTTTATTTTCGGAGTTAAAATTTTGATCATAGGTATTATTTGTGAACTTCTATTCCCGCCAAGTTGCAAAAAGCACATTCATTTGGACTTCTGACAAATTTTTAAATTGCCCTCTTTTGACCAAATTGCTTAATCGCAGATATTTTAGCCCGTTCAAAAGCGTTCAGCCATAATACAATGCATCAAAATGGACATTTGCATTGCCACTAAAGAAACGCCGTCTAAACAGTTTGAAAAGCCTTTTCGTGAGGTCGTTAGAGGAAGTCGTTGGTTCAAGGTATTGGCAAAATATAGTTATTTTAAAATTGCTAAATTACACTCATACAGATGATTAGCACAATTTAACGCCACATGCGTCAATGCAGGCTAACACCACGGTCGTGAAAACGATGGCGAAGCAGGTTAACTTCACCTCTAAACAAACGCACACAAGTTTCATTAATTCACTGCGTCAACTTGAGTTCGCTTCGTCGTTACCCAGCAAAACTCGAGGAAAATTCATTCTACAGAGTTTTTCACCGAAATAAGTGGCAAGGGCGACGGTTCACACTCATTCTAATGCACTTTCTGTGTAATTGATTAAAGCCAAGTTGGCAGTGACGCAGAAACCACCCATGAGCACCTGAATCCCTTTTTTTGATTTCGTGTGCCCCCACACAGGTCGCAAATGATGAGTTGCAACCGATAGGGGTGACTTGTACACTTTATGAGTACAAGTAGTAGGATGTTAAATCAATGTCAGTTAGATGGTTTACTACTCATAACTAGGCATTTCAGCGGACGTATACTCTGGTCCGCAGCCTGTCAGTCTTCAAACTAACCGTTTGTCAAAATCATCTGCATGGCTGCCCAGCATTGCACTGATATTAACCTCG